CCCCAAAAAAAAAAAAAAAAATAGCAGCCTTACATATAATCTGCAATATGTAACAAAATAACTATTTATCGGGTGTACCAAAATTGACCCCAAAGAATTTTGCGCCATTTTGTACGTTAAAGTGTTGCTAACGAAGAAAAAAGACAGTGTGACAGCTGACGGTTCAGGTTTATTAAAAATGGAGGACTATACCAAAAAAAAAACGCGATTTCGTTGTTCAGCAATATTTTGGCAGCTATAGTTTTTGTACAAAATGTGGTCGGAATAGTGATTTAACGTCATCAACTGCGAAGAGATTAATTTAAAAATTCAACACAAAAGCAGTTCGTGAGAGTTTTGCTGAGAGTCCAGGAACATCAATTCGACTCCATGGTGAAGAACTGGACTTTTCAAGAAGCTCTCTACAGCGTGTTCTCACAAAGATTTGCATCTCATGCTTGCAAAGTTCAATTGACTCATGAACGGAAGCCTATTGATCACGCAGAGCAAAGAGAGTTCATTGAACGGATGTGACTGATTGTTGAGAAACAAATGCATCCACAACGTGTCACTGTTTGGTGACCATTCTTCTTCGAAAAGGCGGATGGTCAATCAATAACAGTTAATGGTGCTCGCTATCGCGATATGATAATCCAGTTTTTGTGCCTAAATTGCAAAATCTGGATGTAGACGTCATGTGGTTTCAACAAGACGCTGCTACATGCCATACACCCAGAGAAACATTTAAGTTACTGAATGAGTCATTTCCTGGTGGTGTAATTTCCCGTTTATGTGATCAGAAATAGCCGCCCATATCATGCGATTTAACGCCGTTGGATTTTTTTCTTTTGGGTTTTTTGAAGTCAAAGCCAACAAGCCCACGACCACCCACTTCTTGAAGGAGGAAATCGAGCGATATATCAACGAAATTCAGGCGCATTTATGTGAAAATGTTATGGAAAATTTCGACAAAACAGTGCATATGTGCCAGTAAACCCGTGGAGACCATTTATCCGATATGCTATTCCATACTTAATCATATACTGTATCCTTTATGATTCAATTAAAAATTTACAATTTTTAATGAAAAACCTGTGTTTTCTATCAAAATTACTTCTTGCGTGGATTGTGAGACAGCCTTTATAATAAACTTTCTGCGAAATCGCAACCAATTCTGAGATACAGAGAGTTGAAGTTTGAAGAAAATTCATATTTGATGATATACATATATCTGAACATGCTTGACGTAAAGTGATGAAACTTGGGCTAATGATTTAATTAACTAAAGTCACAAATTCACAGAATTAGTAGGTGTACAAACCTGTTAGCCAGTGATAGAGATACTGGGTGATACTATTACTAAGAACTTTAAATTTCTATACCACTGGATATATTTTAAGTTAGATTAAAAAATTCAGTTTATTCGAAAAACGATTTTTTACCTATAATTAGAATCTTTAAACCAAGTTTCATCAATCCAAGTCAAATATTCTCGGGTATATTTGAATGTAACTATATATTTTTTTCAGATTAAAACTGAAGCACCCTGTACATATTTATGTTTATATTAATATCTTATCTAGACTAAACTGTTTTTCCAGAAACATTCCAACTCGTATTTTTGTAAATTAACTCAAAATAAACATTTATTATTTGCATGTTATTCTTCTGCTTAAATTACATCAACAAGCACTAAACTTGTCATTACAGGGAATTTTTATTAATAAGTACATATAATTTTCACGTGGTTCTAAGGCTTACCTTCCGGAATGTGAAGGTAATTAAAGTAAAGACTCGTTCCTAATGATAATGATTATCGCACAGTTATTTTAAAATATGTATGTCACATTGATAAATGCATCATTATTCTTAGTTTAAATAGATCAAGAGAGGCCTTTTGTAGCATGTAAACCTTAAACCTCAATGCTAGGCTATCTACTGATGTCTATCAAATTAAAAATGCAGCTAAGAAAACTACCTCGATCAATAAATATATTCTCAAGGAATAATATTTTTTATAAGGACAGCAGATTTTAAACATTTTAAACCTATTTTTGTACAAGTGTAACTTTATTACATAGTACCTACCATCATCTTTTTTTATTTTACATAAAACAGCGTTTCCAAATTAATTCTGACAAAAACGTCATGGGAGAAAAAATTTGGAACTTAATCTTGACGGAATTATCTAGAAATTAGGAAATTGCCTACTCCAATCCAATGCCAATGTCGTGTGGCATCAAGTAAGTTGCCAAAATAACAAGAATTAGTGTTTTTGTGTTTATTTGGTAACGGGACATAATACATTAAATGCAATACATAAAATGGCATTCAGCTTGAAAAAGTATCAACTACAACCAGTGGCATAGGTATCAGGTATGCTGGTTACATTTTTCTCAAAAATTATGACCACCACTCAACAAATTTTTTTTTGACATTCTTGAATTAATGATTATAATTTGAACGAAAGAGGTCTCTCGAATTTTTGCATACCTAGCTTTTACCATTTTGATACAAATTGGCAATTTGTAAAGACGATAAATTTAAAAATATACAGGATGTTTCACATTAACGTAACAAAAATGAAAAAGTGTTTTTCCTAACCTAATTTGAGAATATTAGTTATGTCATATAAACAAATGCTCTTGAAGATACTGTTTTTAAGAAACAAGGTGTTAGGTACATTTTTCAAAAAAGTTGTATGGTGTTTCATCATAGTATAGTAATTTTGAGCACTTTTTATAAAATCATTTATACATTTTGCATTTATCTACACGTTATCTTTACAAATTGCTAATTTGTACCAAAACGGTAAAAGCTATACAAAAAGACCAAGAGATAATTTTTTCGTTCAAAATAAAACTGGCTTGAGTAGAGACTTTTAATTTTTATACTATAAATCTCATTTTGTTCCTATATTGTGAGCACTATATTCAGTTTCAATGTTTTCATTTGTCCAGCAGATATTTAGGGACACTTATAATATCCATTTTTACTTCCTAAATTTTTCATGGATAAAGTTCGGAACACCCTGTATATGATTTCTTCTCATAAGAATTTTAGACATTTTTAGCCTTGATTTGGATAAGAATAATACCCTTTGAAATAAAATAAAACTACATTTTTGCTTGACGACAAATTTTTACTAATCTGTGTCATGCTATAATGAGATTGGCAGGTGCTTGTCGTCGAGACAAACTTTCTAAAATTACCGTAAATGGTGTGAGGAACAAAAATTATTTCAGACTTATCAAGATTCCCAATTCTAAATAGAAAAATTTAATTCTCAGCAGTAGCAAACAAAGTTTAACCCAGTTGAGATTTATCGCAAATACTTTTACTAAAGGACGAAATCCAAGCTTTTGTTCAATATAAAAATTAAAAATACATAATTCGGGAGGTCAATATTTTTGCGAAAAAAGTGATTTAACTGCATTCAAAAGTTCTTTTAACACATAACATAAAAGTATTAAAAAAATGTCGTGTGTGGACATTGATAGTAAAAATAAAATCTTTTTTTTTTTGGTATTTCTGCTCTACGTAAATTTCGTAGAATCTCTATGTAAATTTGAGCACATTGCCGTAGTGCTGAAATACAAAAGGAATTCAGTGGCACTCAGATCTGCTGATTTGGCTGTCACCCTCTCATTTCCAACTCTTTTTGACCTAAAACAGTTATCGATATCAGCTCACCTGGGGCTCCAATCCTGCCAGGGAAGCGTAAGCGAGAGACTGGGGAATCAGAGTGAGCCCGACGGTGATGCCGGCCACCAAGTCCGATATGGCCTTGTCGACGTTATAGTCGCCAGACCATTGTAGAAGCGGTGCATATTTTCGGAAGTAGTTCCAAGGTTTCCTCATTGTACGATCATCTACGCTTCATGGGCCAGTAACTTGCGGGGTATCTCATCAGATTTCTGCAAAAAATGCGATCGTGGTCCATAATTTCATTAAATCAATGATAGGCCATTCGAATCTTCAATTTTGCATGAAAAACTTGTGTTATGCCATTTACAAAGTAATAAACTGGATCTAGAAGTACTGAACAGGATTACGAACAATATACAGGATGCTTTGATCGAGGTGGCACAAATAATATCTGTTAGTTTTAGCCCAAAACCATCAACATTATGAACTGTTGATATACTTGTTTTGAAAAAGAGCTCAGAAACACAACTTTGTTCCATTATTATAGTTAGCTTTTTTTTATAAGGATTGTTTTACCATAAATTTATTGCTTGTTGTTTTTCTGCTTATGTAGGATTTTAGAAAAACTTGCTATAGATTTATCGTCTTTTGTTTTCAAAGTACAGAGCATAAAAGTATTTGTTTTTAAGGAATTTTGTTAATATCTTCAAGTGTACTCAATATGTACTGCAATATAGTAGATTCTAAAAAGTTGTTTACAGTTATTTTAATAGTCGATATAATTTTACAGTCTACAAAAATTAAACACATTTATAAATATATTGTACACTTATTTAAAACTTTTAGTTTTTTATCCCGGTCTAAAAACTTAATCTCGAAAAAGTTATGACATAGAATATTCCAGGATTGTAGCATAAAAACGATTTTTACAATAAAAAAATCACATAGAACCAGGGTCTTTTAATACATTTGAAAAGCAATATGTTTCCATTACTTTTGGATATGTACATAAAATTATTTAAAAAAATTACTTCATCTCCTGGTATTTTGAAAAAAAACGACAGAACTATAAGTTCAAAAATTATTAATTTTTTTATGTTCTATTAGGCATTCCTAGGGTTTGGTATGTTTTTCTGAAACACCCTCTATGTGAACTATTCATATAAAAATCTATACAAGTGCTAAGTTCTAAAATTTATTTAATCAGAGAAATGTTTAATGTAAATGTAATTAAAATCACGGATTTTTTGCAGCCACGTACTACAGTATGTAGGAGTATATTTCTTATTGGCGATTATTATTATCACATTCAAATACGACAACAAAAATTAATAATGGGTGAGTTTCTAGAAACGATAAGCCAAATATTTAAGCATTAATTAGAAACATATAGGTAGGTACGTTGGCAAATAAAATGATTTGTTTTCGTATAGCGAATATCCTTCAGAAACCGTAGTGTAAAATTTTATATGTAAATTTATAGCTGTTTCTAGTAACACATAATTTGTTGACAATGCCTTATCGGGGCCTGTTACAAATTGGTTTTTAAAACTTCTCAATATTGAATGGAGATAACAGAATAAATATTTGTCTCATTTATTAATGCCTTACGAATGATTAGACATGTTAATCTTATACTATATTTGTGCCTACCAATTTTATATTACTTTGAAATTTTATTTTATTTCTTTATTTAAAAATTTGTAACAAATAATATATTTTTTCTAAAAGACAATCCTTTTTTAAGAAATATAGAATAATTGTTTTCTGAGAGCATTGTAATATCAATATATAGATAATTTTTAACGGTTATTGAGCATATTGCAAATAAAACGGATATATCAAACAATAACAGATGTATTTCTGTAAATCAATAAATGTACAAAAAATGCATTGTTTGTATCGCTAGTGAAATGAAATGGTATTTTCGTTGCAAGGCTGCCGTAAACTTCAAAACCATAAATATGAATCATTATTCATTCTTTGTTTCTATTCATGACACCATTTTTTAAATAAAATATATCTCCTAACTTTTAACAGTAGCAATTTTTTTCACATATCCACAAAAAATACACATGGCCATGTTTGTAACCTTATTTACCATTTTAAAAGTGATGATATTTCCCAATATCTATTAAAAATTAAAAATGAACAAGTACCTAATAAAGACTATTTAAAATATTTTAAGCAATTTATGTTAAAATTAAGTGTGTATTACCCAAGCCGAATAAAAAATCATTGCTTTTGAAACCTGTATGCAATGAAGTCGATTAAGGAAAAAAACTACTGTATATTAATATTTTGCTAACAGTTAGACATAGACATAATGTTTATTTTAAAATGTTTCAATTAAGGTTTTTGTAAAATTATAACAGACCGAATTAGGCAATTTTAGTAACTATTAGATAAAATAAGGGAAGTGTATTTTTTATTAATTAACTTTGTTTATCTCATATCAGCATCGAATAAAACTATAATAACATGTAGTTATTTGTTGATAATATGCGTTGCTCCCACTGACTATTACTTTTAAAGATATTTTCAATGTTAATGCCTTAATATATTTGAATTAAACAAATCAAATTCTTTGAAATTAAAAAAATATCAATACCACCAATAATCAGACTTACCTAATTATAAAAAATTGTATCTAGCCCAATCTTTAGCTTATTACCCATTTGAATTTTGTTTACATGAATGAATTTCCTGATTTTGTGAATATAGTTCAGATATTAATTATTATTATCGTTACCAAATGTAGGGAAAATACCATATTTGACTAATATTTAATATCTATAAAGCTATACTATCTATACTAATATCTATATATCTATACTAATTTTGCATTGACATTGACTTTCATGTTCTTTCCTAGAGCATGCAAATTATGTTCATAAAAGAAAACAATTGGTTACGCAACTCGTTCTGCTTCTGTAAACTACTTGTTTATATTATACAAATATATCATTTCAAGTCAGTCGATGGCTTATTTAATCCTATTATCACAATAGGTAATTTTATTAATTTTATTGCATATTCTGGAATACCACTTAAACCTGCATAATAATCTTCAATGTTTTAAAGTCGTTAACTTTCAAAATTTATGTTGTTTGACAGCATCAGCGAATAG